CACATGTAGACAATTACTGAAATTTACTACAAAATGAAACCGTTTTCGGCATTTGGTTCACTTGTAATCGCTGGTGATTTTAATTTTCATGTTGATGATACAACTGATACTGCGGCGGCTAATTTCCTGAGCTTATTGGAGTCATTTGATTTACAACATGTTCGTAGTTGCACCCACAGAGCTGGACATACTTTGGTTCTGGTCATCACTCGTGATGCTGAATATATTTTAAATGCTATTTCAGTTGATGATTCCTCAGAGATATCGGATCATCACACTGTTTGTACTGATCTTCGTTTTGTTAAGCCTAATTGGGAAAGGAAGCGTATTTTTGGTCGGAAATTAAAAGCCATCAACTTGGAGCATTTTCGACAAGATGTTGCAATGTCTCCTCTTTTGTCTGAATCATCCAATGATTTACTTACGCTGCTTCACTTGTATAATTCGGAGTTATCTAGTGTTTTGGATAAGCATGCGCCATTAAAATCGCGCATGGTTACCATACGTCCCGCTGCTCCATGGTTTAGTCAGGAGATTAAACTGGAGAGAAGATTTCGTCGCCGACTGGAAAGGAGATGGCGTAGGACTAGATTGCCCGAAGATCGTCTGCGTTTTATTGAACAAAATCGTATTGTTAATGAGCTATTACTCTCTGTCCGCTCACAATATTACACCAAGCTTATTGATGATAATTGCCTTAATCAGAGGAAACTGTTTGGCATTGTCGGTAAGTTGTTACATCGGAGTCCTGCACCGCAGTATCCATCTTGCTCTTCCGTGGCGGATCTTGCAAATAGATTCATTGGCTTTTTTGGTGAGAAGATTATTACTATTCGACATGAACTGGAATCGAACCCTATGCAGGGAACTTATTAATTTAATAAAGTCACAGTAGCAACAACTAGACTCCATCGTTTGAGCTGTCCTTCATATTCGACCTTACTTCAGATTGTGCACCCTGTGGCATCAAAGTCTTGTGAACTTGACCCTGTCCCCTCTAGACTACTCCTTGGTTGTCTTGATCTCCTTTGCCCTGTGATCTGGAAAATTGTTAAGCTGTCTTTGGAGACCTCTGTCATGCCCACTGAACTTAAACAAGCTGTAGTTCGTCCTTTGTTGAAAAAGCCGAGTCTTGATTATCAAGAATTTAAGAACTTTCGGCCGATCTCTAACCTCACCTTCTTGTCCAAAGTCATTGAGAAAGTAGTGGCTTTGCAGCTTGTTGACTACATTGACAACAATGGTCTGTGTGAAGTCTTTCAGTCTGCCTACCGTGCTCACCATAGCACCGGAACGGCTCTTCTCAGAGTCTACAATGACATTGCTATGTCCATTGACAATCAAAAATCTGTTGTTTTGGTTCTACTGGACCTGTCTGCTGCTTTTGATACAGTTGATCATTCTCTTCTCCTTGCTAGACTATCTACCCGTTTTGGCATTTGTGACCAGGCACTGGACTGGTTTCGTTCATATCTATCTGATCGCACTCATTATGTCAGAATCTAAGATGTCTCTTCTGATGTGCATGCCGTACCTTGTGGTGTACCTCAGGGTTCCGTGTTGGGCCCCTTGCTGTATTCTTTGTACACTTCCCCCCTAGGTGATATTGCAAGATCTCATGGTCTATCTTATCACTTTTATGCTGATGATACACAGCTATATTTATCTTTTGAAACGTCATCGCCTGAGGATTTGTCAACATGTACATCTGCTCTTGAAGATTGTGTTAAAGATATTGACCTTTGGGTGTTAAATGACAAGCTGAAGCTGAACAGTGGGAAGACTGAAATTATAGTTTTTTCATCCTCCTATCGCCGACGTCCTGCGTTAAAAAACCTGGTGATTGCCTCTGACACTGTTGACTGTTCAACTACTGCACCTTGCTATATCACTGATCTCATCAAGCCTTATACACCTGGTAGACTTCTTAGATCCTCCAATCAATTTTTACTTTCTACATTTAAATTTAATCTTAAAACGTATGGTGGCCGGTGTTTTACTATTGCTGCACCTTCTGTTTGGAATTCACTTCCATTCGAACTTAGATCTTGTAATTCTCTTTCTTCTTTTAAATCTAAGCTCAAGACTTGGCTTTTTAAAATTGGTTATGATGTTGTCGCATAGAATGATGATGTTTTTATAGGATGACAATGTAGTTTTGTAGTTTTGTAGGTTTAGGATTTTATTGTTATTTTTATTATGTAAAGCGCTATTGGACCATTGGAAATTTTTATAGAATGACAATGTAGTTTTGTAGGTTTAGGATTTTGTTGTTATTTTTATTATGTAAAGCGCTTTTGGACCATTGGGAATTAGCGCTCTATAAATACTGTATATTATTATTATTATTATATTATTATTATTATTATTATTATTATTATATTATTTCGTCTTAACTTGTGTTGATATTAAACGCTGGAGCACGATGAATTGAGTAAGAACACTGGTTCACTTACATTACACCTCTCACACGTTTCAAGGAAATCATCAAAGCCTTCAGTGAAATGTGTGTCATCACGTCAATAACACAAATTAGGGGTTGCGTTCTCGTACCTCGAACGCAATCAGATTTTGATGTTCATGGTAAAGCATTATCACTTGAATCATTACCAAATTTTGCAATGCCTGCTAAAATGTGAGAATCTGATGATGTCTGCAGTGACTAGACTTCCCTATAGTTAGCTAGTTAATCCATTCTTACTTTTGTAATTTGCTCTTTTTCCATTACCTACTTTTTAGTTGGTTTGCAGGACTTTCAAGAAATGTACATGTAGATACATTTGTAATTTTTGAAAAGCTGCAAATGCCCCACTGTGGGGCCAGGCATTCATACAAAACTCCCACAGTGCAAGGGGCTTAAAAAGAGGGTGCAAATGCTCCACCACCGGATAACACCAAAATTGTATTTTCCAGTAAATAAGCTGCAAATCCCATATTCATGGGAAATCTTTAATCATCTGATCAAAACACGTGAAGCGTCCTACACAAATCACCCCTAGCCGCTTGTTATAATTATTGCACAAAAGATCACATTCACTAGATTTTAAAATGTCATTAACAGAACTAAAAAATATAATTTATATAGAACCTTTCTTATTTCCAAGGTCGTTTAATATAAATAATGATAACCAAACAACCGATGAGCTGAACATGAGTATTTTCTCTTCACGATGGAACCCTTTTGTATTGTAAGTTTAGCTTTCAGAGTATCTCGCAAAGTTTTTCTACGCATTTCTGCCTCAACCACTCACATAAAGAAAGTGTCTTATCCTTTAAACTCAAACGATCATTGATTGTTTTTGCTCCATTTGCGAACTGATCCGCATTTTATACCTAGTCCTTGTTTTATACCCAATCCTCAGTCCGTGATCTACAGTCCACAGTCCGTCTGTTATACTGACCGAATTGTTTATCCACTATCTTTGCTCGGGAAACACAATATTTTTCTTCCGGTTTATGGCACTTTATTAAACAGTTATTGGGGTATATATTTATAAAAAACAACAACAACAACAACAACAAAACAAATGAGCAAACAAAACAAAAAACGGAAAAAAAGAAAGAAGCAAAAAAAGAAAAGTATTAGCAGGACTGAACCCGGCACCTCCAGCGTGCCTAGTTTTAGCTTATAAGATAATAACTTTATGTAATTAAGATTATCAGTTCAGTTTAGGCTTATTTTATTTATTTATCTTGTAGATGACCACCTCCCGTAAGCAACGACTTTGTCCTGCACCAAGGGTGGTCGCTAACAAGGGAGTTGACTACATACCAGTTTATTCAGGTAAAATGTCTCAATTTTAATTACTGCTATGTATAACAAATAAGGAGAGAGAAAAAAGATAGAACAAATGGCTGCCTGAAACTAATTTACCACCAGACAGTTGCATCATAAGAATTCTGTTGTTGTGCCCTGAGGTTGATTATAACAGTAGCGGTGAGGTAGGGCTCCTCTCCATTCCCCAACATCTTATATCTACGATTAGGATATGTTAACAAAGTCAAGTGTGTCAAACAAACTACATGTATTAACAAACGTGAGGTAAATTCAACAGAAGAGAAGGGGGATGGGGTGGGGCTGAGTTCCACTCCCCGGTAACTGATATCTAGGAATAGGATATGTTAACAAAGTCAAGTGTGTTAAACAAACTATTAAAAAACGTGAGGTAAAGTCAACAGCTCCACTCCCCGATAACTGATATCTACGATTAAGATATGTTATTAACAGAGTCAAGTGTGTCGAACAAACTATCAACAAACGTATTGCAAAGTCAACAGAAGAGACGTGGGGTGGGGCTTAGCTCCACTCCCCAATGACTGATATCTAGGAATAGGATATGTTAACAGAGTCAAGTGTGTCAAACAAACTATATGTATTAACAAACGTGAGGTAAATTCAACAGAAGAGAATTGAATGATCTCGATTTTAATCTAACCAAAATTGAGTGGAATTTTGTGTCATCTGTTTTATCAAAGCTTTCAAAAGACAGAGTGGAGAGGAGGGGAGAGTTTAATTTTCTTAAGCAAATTTCACACAGACCCTTACATTCGTTTATTTTTTTTTTTTATGCTTTTCAACAAAATGAAAAATCATTCCTGTGACTGTAAGCATTCCAAATAAATTTTGTTAAAAACAATTAAGGTGGTTATATTGTTGTGAATAACATGTCACAGTAGCATAGGCCAATCTGTAATTAAGCTTTGCCCCTCCTTGAAAGTAATTCCAAATTAGTGCTCATCCTTTCATGTGTAAAACAGGTTTCATTAATTCATGTGCAAATGAAACATCTTTACCTGAATGGTTGTGCACCAAAACCAACTTTCGAAGTGGGCCATTGTACTACATTTAGATCATTTATTGCAACTTTCGAGCCAGATTTTTTCATGAATATGAATTTTGTCTTCAGAATAGATTAGTTACCTAAACAATTTTGAATTGTTTTTTCTACCCCCTGCAGAAATTTGTAATGGTCTTTTTCATTAATTTTGTGATCATCTACATGGCTACTGCAGTGCCATCACCCCTGGCCTCTTCTGTGGAGAAAACAAATGGAGCCAAGCTCATCGGATTACTCATTGATGGTGGGACATTCGCTTTGAAGAAGACGTTTGATCGTTATCACCCACCCAATCGCTTGGTCCAAGATCTTAACACCAATTATTCCATCCTTGAAAATCTTTTCTATGAAAAGATTCTGGATGGCCATCAGTGGGACAAATTATTCCCGCCTAGTGGAGTAGCACCAGACTCCAACACTTTTGACATCACTCTTCTTTTCCTTTTGCTGACTACGATTTGTGGTCTGCGTGCTCCACGTTCTGGGTGGCACAATAAACCAAACCCGAGGAACAAATCCCTCGAGGCCAATATTGCCCGCATAAAATTCTACCGCAATAAGCTCAGTCATATAACAACAACTGGCGTTGATACAGGAGAATTTTCTTCTCTCTGGGAAGAAATTAGTGCCCCTCTTTTGGCTCTGGGCTTAGACCAGGGAGAAATTGATAAATTAAAACAAGCGAAAAGTGGCGAGAAAAATTATCTTCAAGGTTTACGTGACTGGGTTGACAGCGATGAGAAAGTGAAATCACAGCTGAAGAACTTAAGTCAAGGGGTTGAAAAGATACAAAAGACAATGGAAGAAGTACAACAGACCCAGACTAAAATGCAGCTAACAGTTGGTGAAGTACGAGAAACTCAGGTGGACAATCATAAAACGTTGCAGGAAATACAACAGTCTCAGTCTCAAACCAACCTGGCCGTGGAAGAGATACATTTGAAGAACACGGAAGAACGGGGAAAACGTCAAGATGGTTTAGACAAGGTGATCGAAAATGTACAACAAACTCACAGCAAAATGGTTGACTTTGGAGCAAGGACCCAGGAACAGTATAACGTGTTAACAGAAGGTATTAAAGAAGTAAAGAAAACAGTTGACGCTTTTAAAGAAGGAAGAGACAAGGAAACAGATGATAAAGTCCTGCGAAATCTTGTCAAGTCTGAATTCAGAGGAGACATTGAGTATTATGTGCAAAGATTTCAAGCAGGGACACGTGAGTGGGTATTTGACAGAGTTCAGAACTGGCTGGATGACGGAAGCTCTCAAAATCGTGTGATGGTGATCACTGGAAATGCAGGGATGGGAAAATCTGTCATCTCAGCCGTGATTTGCAAGCGAATGCAAGAGACTGGCAGACTATCGGGAAGTCACTTTTGTCAGTATAACAATGTACGCTACTGTAAGCCTCACTTGATGATTCAGTCACTTGCCTGTCAATTGTCCTATGTCCTGCCAGAGTACAAGCGAGCACTTGTGGAACAGCTATCAAGAAACCTGGGAACAGATCTCAACAACATGGGTGTGGAGGAGTTGTTTGCACTGATTTTCAAGGAACCTCTTAGTGCTGTAGGTGATCCAGGAAGAAACATGCTCATGGTGATAGATGGTTTGGATGAAAGCGAATATCAAGGACGGAATAAGCTTCTTGATGTGATTGCAGATCAGTTTTGTAAGCTTCCTAGTTGGATTCGTTTTGTTGTCACGACGCGTCCAGCCTTAAACATTGCAGAGAAACTAAAACATTTGAAGCCGGTTGAAATTAAATCTAATGATGAACAGAATCTAGAAGACGTTAGAGTGTTTTGTCTGAAAAGACTACAACTCGTGGTCAAACGAGAGAATGTAGGCGTGTTTGTACAAAAATTAGTTTCGAAATCTGAAGGACTGATGCTGTACGCCCATTTTCTCTTATTGTCGATTACTGAAAATGCATCAATTTTGAACGAGGGAGACCTTGTTGGCAGTTTACCCTCAGGAATTTCTTCAGTCTATCATTCCTATTTCAAACGATTGGAACGTGAACTCTTGGAGGAACTTGACGTAAAGGAAGAACATTTCCTGAATCTGCTATCTGCCATTACCGCTTCAAGAGAACCCTTGCCAGTAGGTTTTGTTTCTAAAGTATTAGTGCAAAGTACCAATTCACCACTCACAAGACGTAAAGTACTAAGAATCTTGGATAGTGTTTCTGTACTTCTTCCCATCCGGGATGAGTGTCTTACTGTCATTCACAAGTCAGTTCAAGACTGGTTAACAGACATTTCAAGTTATGGGGAGCATGAATTCATTGTGGATGAAAGTGAGGGACACCGTATACTAGCAGCCTTGTGTATTGACGAACTTGAAAATGTGAAACGGAAAGGTATACATTACGAACGATTTAGCGCCACTGAGAGGTACGCGCTGTATCATGGTGTGCATCACATGCTACACGAAGGCATCAAGAGAGAGCCACATAAGCTGGACGAACTGACAAAGGCCTACATTATGGATTTAGAAATCGTGTATGCCAAGACCTTCGTGAACAGCACAATAGCGGCTGAAGACCTTCTGTGGCTTAAAAACAAGGGGATTTTTACATTGTTATCAAAAGATAACCAAAATATTCTGAAAACCTTGTTGTTTCTCTTGAGAAAGAACCTCCGTTTACTGACGGATACCCCTCGCAGGTTTCTTCAAATCATACTTAACCAAGGAGGAAAAGTGTTGAGTGTTGACGCGTCGAATCATTTGCGAAAGAAGTATCCTGAAATACCATATATGGAGGTTGTTCACAAGGAGATGCAACGGGCAGGTGTTCTAGCCCGATTTGAATGTTCATCTACCGTGATCTGTTTGGACGTTTCTCCACAGTTGGATTATATGGTGTGTGAATGTAGCGACGGAATGCTGCCGCTATGGTCACTCGAGACTGGCAGGCTAGTGTGGACACGTCCAGTCGTAGTAGAGAAGAGTTTCAGGAAGATCGGGAATTCCACTGTGTTTAGAAAATTACCTTCTGTAGACGCGTTGTCATTATTCCGTTCTGTTGTTTTCCACCCTACAAAGGAATGTATTTTACCTGGGATTCTAAGTCAGGCCTATACTATGGACGGAGACTTGAAACCACTCTTTCCCAGAAGTAACTGTAGATTCTCAGTTTGCTCTATTTCAGGCGACAAGACCAAGATTCTAACTAATTGTCTTGAGAGTTCTAAAAGCCTTGTTTTGTGGAGTTTGGAAAATGGCTCAGAGGTTGATCGAATTCTCGCAGATGAAGACATTTTATCTTTTGCATGGTCTGGTGATGGAAGGCTTCTTGCAATTTCACATTCTTCGGGAGTGATTAGTTTATATGATGTGATGTGTAATTTCAGAAAACTAACACAAATGGATACCCCAGATGTATTTGGCATGGTAAAGTTTTCACCTGATCATCGATTCATTTTGTGTTGGGCTGTAACAGACGTAGTTCGCACCCGCTTTTTTAGCATCAAGGTTGTAAAGGACGTCCACAACACTGCATTTTGTTCAACAAATGTGTTTTATGATTACGAAAATTTTGATCCTTTTAATGATTGTGGATTTTTGTTTGGCGATCTTATTCCCAAAGAAAGGCATCTGCATCAGACGATGTTTGTTCTTGACAAACGTCTGTTACGGTCCTCTGGGGGTGCAATAGAAATGGAGGATACTAAAGACATAAAGGAAAGTTATCAAGGCGTATCTCCTGGAGCTAAAGGGATAGCAGTCAGTTTGGATGCTCAAACCGTGTTTGTTGCAAGTGAGACATCAGTCACTGCTTATGAGGTGTCGAGTGGGAAGCTTAAAGCTGAGATAAACTGCGGGCTTAAACTGTACCGTCCTTTGTGTCCTGTTAGAGGTGGAGTCCTAATCTTAACGAATGAAAGCACTGTTGAGTTGTGGAGTGGTAACCTCGCTAAACGAATCAAAAGGTGGACCAACTTGCTCTTAGTCAAACAAGTGATCCCTGTATCAGAGGAACGAGTAGCTGTCGTAAGCGTGGGTGATGTGAAAGTCCTAGATACCATCAGTGGAAAAGTTGTATTAACAATCCCAGTTTTACAAGGAAGAGTTCTAACCTGCAACAGTAAATGTCAGCTGTTATATATAATTAAAGAAGCAATTAAGTTTCTTCGTCCTGATCCTCCTTGCTCTCTTCAGCTTTTGGATGGCAAAACTGTTGTTTGGAGAAAGGAAGTCATTGAAAGGTACCTTGTTTACGAGGTTGTGGCTTTCTCACCTACGGAACACTTCCTTGTTGTTGGCACGACTGAAGGCGTCTTAGTCTTGGATGCCGAAACAGGAAATACGCTTCGTACTTTACGTCCATCGACATTTTCCCACTTTTGGCATTTTACGTTTATCAGTGACGACAGATGTGTTGCTATTTCTAATTCTGATTTGACTATTCAGCTGTTAAATGTAAAATCTGGTGAACTTGTAACTGCAATTGATGTGGAAAGTAACGTGTCCTGTTTAGCAGCCTGTCCCTTCAATCGTGTTCTCGCCATCGGCCTGGACTCAACACCTAACTTCAGAGTTATCAGGGTGCATTTGCCGCGAGGCGACGATATTGAAAACGGCAAAAGGTGAGATGTAATAACTTTAACAGCAGTCAGTTTTATAGTCCACTTTTTATGTTTTAAGACTTGCTGTAAAATGTTACTGATGTATTTTTCGTTATATTTTTTTCCCTAATTAAGTCCAACACAGCTGCAATAATAATTTTTTATGATGGCCTTGCTAAACTAAGTAATAATCCTGATCACGATTTAAGTTCTTTTTAGGTTCTTTTCAGTTCTTTTAACTGTTCATCTGACCACGGGAATAGATGTCAAATAGAGAAATGATTATCAAAGTTTTGCAACAAGATTAAGCAACTGCCAAGAGAAGGTTGAAGATAAATAAGGGCTTTGCAATTTTCTTGCCCATCACATCAGCGTTGATTGGTGCGTTAATCTTAATAACTGACGCTACTTGGAAAATTACTTAGATTTCATAACGGGCCGAGAATTTTGAAAGAGTATTTGAAAACATAGAAAGAATATCCAGCTCACCTTCATTCCACTTTCTCTTTGTTCCTAACCGCCAGTTGAAAGCATTTTCATCTTCATTCACTACATGGAAGAGTCTTACGCCTCTCGTGTTTTTTATGAACATAATATAATTTTTTATGTCATTCATTTGTTTTACACAGCTAACATAGATATGATTTTCTTTACAATTGCGGCGGCCATAATTAATTTAGTAGTATTTATTGCGATCCTTATAATGCTGTAGGAAACGTTGCCTCAAGTTTCGGCCCACCTTCAATTACGGGTGAATTGCGACTCCACAGAAATGATGGCAATTCTCGTAGCATATAATTTTGGAGAGCAAGATGAATTCACTTTTGCCGTTTTATTTACAGCCGTTAGTCTGCTGTAAAACAGGTTAGGATGTATAGCCGAGTGTTGATCTTACGTACCTCAAACGCGTGCGAAGGAGCATTACGATTTGTTTATTCTTCCACTTACATGTACGCATCCGACGGCTAATCCGCCAGATAATCGTGTTTTCACTATTTTGTAAAGGAAGGAGCATAAGAGGAGTCTGAAGAAAATGGAAACGTTCTGATTCTCGCCTCTCCATTTCCGTTGAGCCTACAACAACGATTTTCTTCTATTTTTCTTAAATCATTAGCGCTTTTAGGAGTCCGATTCCGTCGGAAATGAGTAGAAGGGGAAAGTGGTTCTCGCTCGCTTTCTGTGGTTTCTTTTCTGCGCCCGCCACGTAAAACTGAAAGGGACATTTGCGAGAAGGAGCTCCGTCAGTGAGAAAAATGTACGCTTGTAAATCCGACGTGTCCAAAGGAGTAATGGCCGGTGCGCAAAATCCTCTTTCTTTACCTACTCAGGCGGAATGATGAAACGGAAAACTTGATTTCAATTGTTAACAATATTTTTTTTAATTTGTACGCAGACCCTGTGAGGCCACGATGAGAAAGATCGACAGAACAGATCTGCCACAGCAAGTATGTGTCCCTTAGTAGGTTAAGGAATAAACCAGAAACATTTAAGATTGACTGAGTGATTAATCGCTTGTTTGTGTTAGATACACCTTAAAGCGATTGTGTTTCTAAGTTAGCATTAAAAAGTTCCCCTGTTATAATTTTTATTCTTGGTTTACATATCTGCCTGAATGTGCAAAAAGGTACCTCCAGGATCTTTTAGCAAAAGTATCATTTTCCATCATTCTCTCCGTGTCATAAAACACTATTACATTTGAAATCACCGCGCGCGGTAGAAGTTGTTTTCCGTGGTCGGTTAATTTTCTAGGTTTCTTTCTGGCCGCCTGCAGCAAAGTTTTCCGGAACTCATCATTACGCCTTATGAAGGAACAAGTCTCACGATTGGCAAAGTCTGCCGTTGTCCAATATGTTACCGTATTTCGTCTCATTTTGGCTAAACGGGTGAAACAGTGATCTCGGGCTTGAGATAGAAAGGCATCATATTGCGAGCTTTGATGTGGGCGGTAACGAGTCTCTAGCCTCAAAAAGTAGTTTGTAGGAGTCAGAACTATTCGGCGAGACCAAAATTGATGCATATTTCTGACCAGAAGGGCGGCCTCTATGTGTCCCTTTCAAAACGGCTAGTCTACATCCGGGATCTTGAATACATTGAGGAAGTCAGGAAAGTTTACATGTGATGATTTATGCGGAGAAAGCGAGAGAAATTTGATGACATTTCGCCCGTATTAAAGCTCTGAAACATTGTGCCTGGTTAGTTGTGAACAGTTTTATCAGTGCCGCAAACGTGGTTAATTGTGTGATTTCCTGAAGTTGTTGACAGACAGAATTCAGGCATGTCGTGGTGCTCATGTTCAAAGAATATTGTGTACAAGCATGAAAACGATTCGTGAGTATTTAGTTGAAGTGATTTTGTCTAAGACAACCGATTCTGGGCTCAAGAAAGGTAAATTGTAGGTCTGTTTTAGTCGGGCATCTGGCTGTGAGCCTCATAGTTTGAAAGACTGAATGGTCACAATTTCCCTGTGCTTTTAAATATTGTTCATTTCGATACAGATCTGTTGCTTTTGCCAAAAGCGACTTTTCGTGTGTTTTCAGCGATTAATTTGTTCTTTTTAAGCCCTAACTAGCGACTTTCAACTGTTTTTTATTCATCACAAGGGTCAAATTGTTAAAACGCACTTGAAATTTCTGTAGATACCTTTTCATTAGACAGATATATATATATATATATATATTTACTATTAACTATTCTTATTTCTTGTGCTTGTGCTTATGCTTATGTCGCCTCACTTTTCATTTCCTTACACATGTAGTTGTGCTTAATAAGCTTATGCTTATGCGCTAGTGAAAACCAGGTTTAACATTTGAAATTAGCCATTTTTACGTGGTGATCGTACAGTGATGGCAACGAAATGTACAAAATAGTGTGCTGCACGCGCAAAATTTTTGTTTGCTTATTAAACCACAGGCGGCCCAGACGTAGTATGTGTCACTGAATGAATATATTAATATCCACATGGACAAATTAATGCGATGAGTCGTCGAAACTCCCATGGACTAAAATAGTCTAAAAGTCAAAATATAACAAAACAAAGCTAAGATACCTTCAACTGAACGTATCCTTGTCTTTCCTGGCCGGTTTAAGTGGCATTTTGTTGAGTTTTGAAATTGTAGGTACTATCCACTAAAGAAGAATTAAAGGCTGGCTACAAAACAAACAGACCATCTCCACGCGCCTTCACACGAAGCGCTATAAATTCGAGAATAATCGACGAATCCGCTCCAAATAACCATCGGCTAATCTGCAGGTAACGTGTGCTCCTGCTTCTGGCTCGCTTGCTCCACAAAACCCATCACAACTGCACAATAATTGCTCGCTCATCAACAACCACTGTTGACCTTTACGCTTCGATATGACCGCATACGACCAGGTTTAATACGCGACGTGAATATTCAAGCTTAGCGACCGCGTTCGCGCAACAATGCAGCACTTGCTATGGGAGGGATGGTACTATTGCTTCCAGGTCAATCAATCGGGAAAATAATATTGATGCCCTTGTCATTTTTTAAAAAGATCCAATTTGCCCAAGGAGCACCGAACAGATACGAATCTTATAGCGGAGCTAAAAAAAATGAGCGGCAGTGGAAAAAGTGAATAAGAACATGTACCACATTTTCTCCATAAAAAGTGAAAACCAGGAAGTTTTCTGGACGTTTCACGTTGCAGTCATGCAAATCAACGGCAAGGAAATGTACAAGAAAGTGTGCTGCAATTAGACCTATTGTTGTTTTTCACAGTTCTGGTCAAGGGCATCCAACTTTTAATTTTTCACATTTCACTCACCGGGTTAGGCTATTTTTCTTAGAGAGTAAAATGGAATCCTAAAATTTTCGGATTCAAAAATGTGATGAAAGAAGGTATCTGAAAAATTATCTCCTTCGTAATACGTTAAATTGCATCTAAAATTTTCGGGAAAATAATTCTGAATTCCTCGTAATTTCGAAAAGACTCAAGTTCCTCTAGAATGGCCGAACACTGAGATGCAAATTTTATAGCGCCACTTAGAATGCATTTCTATAGAGCTAAAAGTACTTTATGAATAGCTACAGAAGTGTTTTCAATTGAAAGTATTTGAGGAAACAGTCGTTGGGTGGCCCTGTCTCGTTGCCTTCTCCGCTTAGCATTACACGATATATTTTATATTTAGTATGAGCAAACTATAAATCATTAGCTTCGCTTTTAGCCCTCCTGACTAAATTTATGTAAGCGCTGTTTAGAATACATTTTTCGATCAAAAGTACTCTGGACAGCCTTAAATGTGTTTTCAATGCATTTAGGGGGAAATCATCGTTGGGTGCCCCTGAGTTTTGAGAATAATAATAATAATAAAAAAAGATATCGCGCACATAAATTTTACCTTACGATATCTTCAGCTGTATCTTCTATTCAGCTGCATAGCGGGGGCCAGATTTTGCCTTTTTCCTGGGCGGAAAATTCTCGTCCTCCTTCACCAGTTTGGACAACATATTATGGAGTAAGACGTTGTTAATCTAAGCAAATAAGTCTGGTAGAGTCAAGAACCTATGCAAGCGGCTGGACGAACAATGTGACAGCAGCTGAGACAGCGAACGTTAGAAGAATTCGAACATGAAAACCAGGGCTGCCCTGTTGAAAACTTACGGACGGTCCCGCGATCGCCTTTTGTTTTCTGGTCAAAACTAACGCAGCGAACCTTCGGTCAGTCGATTGACCTGGAAGCAATAGTACCATCCCTCCCATAGCAAGTGCTGCATTGTTGCGCGAACGCGGTCGCTAAGCTTGAATATTCACGTCGCGTATTAAACCTGGTCGTTTGCGGTCATATCGAAGCGTAAAGGTCAACAGTGGTTGTTGATGAGCGAGCAATTATTGTGCAGTTGTGATGGGTTTTGTGGAGCAAGCGAGCCAGAAGCAGGAGCACACGTTACCTGCAGATTAGCCGATGGTTATTTGGAGCGGATTCGTCGATTATTCTCGAATTTATAGCGCTTCGTGTGAAGGCGCGTGGAGATGGTCTGTTTGTTTTGTAGCCAGCCTTTAATTCTTCTTTAGTGGATAGTACCTACAATTTCAAAACTCAACAAAATGCCACTTAAACCGGCCAGGAAAGACAAGGATACGTTCAGTTGAAGGTATCTTAGCTTTGTTTTGTTATATTTTGACTTTTAGACTATTTTAGTCCATGGGAGTTTCGACGACTCATCGCATTAATTTGTCCATGTGGATATTAATATATTCATTCAGTAACACATACTACGTCTGGGCAGCCTGTGATTAAACCCAAACCTAGTATTGCTTTTTTGAAGTTCTCGTTTCCGTTGTCGTTGCCGTCGCCGTCGTCGTTACTAAAGCTCCTTATTACATCGATGTTTCGGGAAAAACAAATCGGGTACAAACATAAAACCAGAGGTTAGAAAGAAGAAAACCAGCTTGAAGAGCTAGCAAAATAAAACAGTGGAAATAATGAAGTTTTAACTCTTTTCCAGGATGACGGACACGCCAAGGACAAAGGAGGCGAAAAGCGAGGAAAAACCGACCAAGAGGTGGTAAGTATCATCATTATCAACAGTGTTGATAATAGACATAATATATAGATTTAGCCAGGGCTAAAAGCGGAGCTCTGGTTAATAATACTTGTAAACAAAAAAAAATTAAATCGTGTAATGCTAAACGGGGAGGGCAATGAAAATGGCATCAAGATCAGTAGATCTAATTAGCAAAAAAACAAATTGCACGTGCAGCACACTTTTTCTTCTAATTAGCAAAAAAACAAATTTGCACGTGCAGCACGCTTTTTGTCTTTCTTTGCCGTTGTTTTGCACAACTACAACCCTGTTTTGTAGAACTAAAACATCAAACTTCCTGGTTACATATTATTTTTAAGGAGGAATTGTCGTATGTGCTTACCCAATAATTTGTCTCCTGTGTTCACGTTCGCTTTCATTTTTCACTGCCGCTCATTTTCACCTTGCTGGCCACTAGCATTTCTCATTTACTCACAGCCGCTTTGAATTTTCATGTTTTTCTTCCTACAAAATTTGTCTCTTTTTGTTTTCAATCACTCGCTCTAGCTCTTTCTCTCAAATAACGTCGAAAAAGACACGACTTTGCTGCTGTTTTTTTTCTTTCTAAAAATCCGAGCGATCATGCGATTTCTTTCCAAATAAAACCTTGAGTTGAAGTTGTGTTACCATACCTGTTGATTAAATCATTTTACATTGGTATGCCTGTGGTGCGGACGGACGGTCGGGCGGGCGGCCGGTCGGTGTACGGTCACGTAATTACCAAATTTTCTCGGATGGGTAGTTTACCACATTTCTTTACCCATGATGCTCCGCTGCGCGCGCTTCGCGCGCGAGAGCTCCGCTATTAAGGACCTTAAGACCCGAGGACGGCGACGGCAGAGAAAACGTAGCTGAAAAAGTGAATTCGCGTTCTGTCAATCATCATCACGATTAGTCCAAGTCACTAACTTTGTAAAATGTAGGCGAACCCTCCTAAAGTTGAATTCCTAAGAACCATATCCAAGTTCAGAAAGAGAGAGGAAATTTCGTCGTCGCTTGTGTACTTTCTCTCCAGATCGTGAAATTAGGCATTTTCACGTCGTAGTCGTGCAGTGACGGCAAAGAAATGTACAAAAAAGCGTGATGCGCGTGTAAAATTGTTGTTTTGCTAATTAAACCTATTGCTTTTGTGGCGTTCCTGTTGCCGTCGCCGTCGTCAGATCTTAAGGTCCCTAATATCACCAATGTGTTATAAAAAATCTAAAGTGGAACTAACAGTTTACTTACAACTAATTTATTTGCAACTCGTCATTCACGAAACGTACGTTCAATTGCAGGGTGAAGAACAGAGAGCACATCTAAGAGAAGCAAGGCAACAAGAACGTAAGGAAGAGGTTAGCAGACTTAAAAAGTCCTACGTCTGCTTTTAAAGAAGCCATGTCACGATTTTTTGCCCTGTTATGCCTAAAACCCTTAAATTAAGCCTAAAAAGTAATTCGTCAACGAGTGAACACTTTTTTTTTCAGGATAGCAGAAATTCTCAAGTTCAGAAAAGAAGATTGTAAGTCTTTAGCAGAAAGGTTTTGTATTGTTTGGTCTTTGTAATTTTGTAGTTTTCCTCACCTGGAATCAGCTGTTTTGGTTTGGTTTCCTATGGTCAGATCTTGACTTTTGGGAAACATCATTATTAGGAGAAGGAAATGTTCAAAATCTGATGGGTTCCTGAAGCTCTGTTTCACTTTTTTAAAATTGTAAGGGACTAAAGACTTTTGTCTTGATATTGCTGTAGTTAACTTGTTTAACTGTTTCAGCGTTTTGCCATGATTTTGCCAGGGAGCAGGCTCCGTATTGGGAGGGGGGCTGGAACTCAAAAACGAGTTGAAACAGCGAAAATCGGTGAGCGAAGTGAGTCGAGTGGTAGGCTCGCCGATTTTTTTCCCACCCTCGCTGCTGTGTTTTCGCCTATTTCTCCACTACGGAGCTTGGTCCCAGGCTAGTCATGATGTAGATATGAGAGCGTGAGAAATGTTTTTTTCCAAAGTTTATGTGTAATGTGTACATGTTTGTTGTATTTTCAGCTGTGTGCTTGTCTGAAGACGGCAAAAGAAGATAGTCCACACTGTTAGTGCCCAAATGACAGGTTGTTTACGGCGTCCAAAATACTGTATGACTGTATAATGTACTAATTATTAGCTAGGTTTTGGTGCATACGCAAAGACTGTGTAAATAATATCCTATCTATTGAACTGAAGATGGAATTTTTTCTATACCAAAGTGGAAATATTTCTTATGCGAACTGTATTTTATTGAGAATTTAGTGGAGAGCGAAAGAAATTTTTAATTTTCAGTTTTCCATTACTTCGGCGTGAATGGATGAATTTCCTCTGGAGAGAAACTAAAAAGATAAAGAGAATTTTAGATAGTCATATACATATAAATTGAGTCATTTATTAAATAAAAGGCCGAAATAAAAGAAAGAGTTGTTAATTAGTGTCTAAGAATTTAATGTAACCACTCACTTTAGAGTTTGCTGCCCAAATTTTTCAACAATTCAATCCTTCCCCACCAACGTTATTGAGGGGAGGATCTAATATCTAGCGTGGCACGCTAGATATTTGCCCGCCCAAGCCGGTTGTTTTCCCAACACTATAAACAGGGACGGCAGAACATTGACAAGATGTTTGAATAGGATCACTGTCAGGCCATCATTATTTTTCTTGTCAATAGTGTATATAACCACCCAATGGTCAGTTACAAAAAACACCGAACAGAACAACCACGATAGTCACTATTTTCTTCGATTAAATCAAGAGTGAATTAAACCTTGTGTGACAGTGATGCTGTGCTGCGGATTTTACAGTTTCTCTTAGGTAAAGGAAAAGGGAGGGTAATGTTTCCGAAAAGAGGAATGACATTAATAACAACTAATTACATCAAATTCGCGCTTGTAAAGGGAACCATGTTTTAGTACTGATTAATTTCGAATTCCCCATGATACTAGCTCGGCCGTCGGAATTCCTCCTTCCCGTTTTAACACCTGCCATGTAGGCTACCATAATATGACCTATTTGCCTCCCGAATGTTTCTTATTGATTTCCCAGGATTCCCAGGCTGTAAACAATAGTTTCTGCAAAATTTGAAGGACAAACAAAGTTTATTATGGGGATTTGAGAATAGAGAATGAGATTGCAGTAAAAAGAAAGATTATTATTTTAGCCTTCGAGAGACTTTTTAGTAGTATTTTATGAAATAATTTTTTCCTGAGGATTTGGTCTAAGTAGGATACGCATTTAATTTTGTAGAACTGGTTTCAAAAGAGAGTATTGCCTTTATGGATAAATAGTTACGAAAAAAGCTTAGGGTTCTTAATTAGAAGGTCTAAATATTGCAGAAAGAGTTATTTCCTTTCCGAAATCAAAGTAAGCAAAATGGTTTCTACTTTCGATATTGTTATTTAATTGTGCGATGCATGTTTTGCAAGTTTGTTGTCTTATCGACACCTGCTGGGCTGGCTGCTAATCTCGTCCCCTCCCCCCTCAGATAATCGCCCCCGCCCCCCCCCCACCCCCCCCGCTTCTCCAGCATTAACGTACAACACAAAAGTTTTTCAAGATATATTTTGGATATGTCTTAGCTTACAAGGTCTTGATAAAAGTGTTGTGCTTGTTGCGTTTTTCTTTGGTTTTGATAATTACAAAGAAACTTGAAAGCAGTCGAACAAGAGGAATGAATTTGCACTCGTTTTGCGTGATAGGTGGGGTGACCATATGCGAGAGTGGACAGGCGGGTTACCCCACCTAAGTGGGTTACCTGGCCTACCTTGGGTCTCCCACCTCCATGTAAACAGGCCCTTAGTGTAATAAATCTAAACATGCGGATTACATTGTAAACCAGTTTTATGTTCGTGTCTTTAGAGACAACCATATTTATTGGCTTTTTGATTCTTCCCTCTAGAACTGAAGAGACATTTTGGTAACATTTTATAAAAGAATTCTCCTCTGACGATCACAGCTAGCTCGGTTATTATTATTAACAGTTTTAGACCTCCTTCAGCGTGGATCATAGTGCCTCGAAAAGATGAAGTTAGTGCAACATTTGCATGTTTTAAGATTTGATCAAGTATAAAAATGCTGAGAAGCTTATTGCAATCGTAATTATATTGTGCCTGTTGAGGATGCGGTTAGTTCCTGGTTTATAAAGTGATCAGAAAAAATTCAGTCGATAGTTTTGGAAACTGAAAAGTAGGCTAGGTCATTCTAGGGATTGTTTGTAACTGATCGAGTAAATTAAAATTGGCATAGTTAAAAAAAACGTAATTACACTGATAACAAAGTTTATTTCTTAGAGAAAATTAGGTCTGGTTAAACCAGGACACTGTACTCAATGTATATTTTCATGCAACCTGAGCATTAAACTTCCGTAGGGGAATGTGATAGTAAGGTTGCTTTAGTACACAGAAAGTACTAAGGAACAGTTATGTATCATTTGATGAAAGCAAAAATCTGGTAAGTCAAGTCAAGTCGTATTTTATTATGCAATGGCTGACCTTGACTGATATAGGCAAGTATAAATTTTACAGTGTCATTATAAATATGTTTGTAAAAAGGTTTTGTATGATTTTTTAACGAAGAGTGGCTTTGTAAAAATTATTCATTATAAGGTAGAATATAATTATAATATTAGAACCTACTAAGAAAGAATTCCAGTTCCATAATAATTTTTGAAGGCTGAAATTTGTCTTAAGCAATTTATCGCACCATTTCTATCCGTTTTTAAGGAAAAATATAGAAAGAATAGTTTTTCACCGACCTTTTCTGAGTTGATTATTGACCGCAAATAATAAATAAATTAAAAGAGATATCTCTAGCATATTTGTTTGCAACACCTAGGCCCAGCTACTAGGCGCTGTAGCTTTGAGAAATTATGGAAGCTCTGGAGTGATTAAAATGTAAGAGTATTGTAGAACTACTAGACTAGTATTATAAGGGTAATGATTATCATTATATATTTCTTATACGCAGTGGATGAGGCAAGCATTTCGTAACAGAATTAAGTGATGAGAGGGAACTGTTCGACGTTCCCTCCTCTCTCAGATCACATTTAAGAGATGGTAAAATGTTGACCTAAAGTGTTAAAGCAATGACAGTGACGAAACGACTGAGCACAAATTAGGGCCTACTTAGGTAGAAAAACAGCAAACATCAAAGAGGAAAAGATTCAGTGTTTTTTTCGAAGAGCTTCTCATAAATGAGTCCTATTCAATTGTCCAGATAAAAGCGACACTCCAGTTACAGAATCCGGCTATGAACAAAATCCCTGACACGAAGCACCTAACCATGTGTACCATAACATCAGCTTGTGGAACATACAGTTACCATTGGCAAATTGTTAACAAAGGCTCAAATCCCCAAGATTATATTCTCAGTTATATCTTTGGTTTACTTAACAGTTCTTTCTTCTTGACAAGAAGAACGACAACCATAAGACGTATCTTTAGCATCCAGTCGTTACAATGGAAGAATGCATCAAAACAGTTTTATTGAAAGCATTCAAGGATCACTGGTTTAACAAGGAGTACAATCTCAACACAGAGAAAGCAGATCCGGTAGAGCTGTTTCAGTGATATTACCACCATAAAGCGGTCATTTGAGTTTGAAGGACAGCCTTTATGAACGTGTTGACGGTGTTGCCATGGATTCACTTCTGAGACTCCAGTATGATCTCTCATGCATTCATGTGTACAGTCGCAAGACTACGTATTTAGTCATATGTACAATTTACGAAGCGCCAGCGAGCTGCATCAATAAAATAATAACTACTCTCGGCGCTTGCCTTCCAAATACAACGTAGCAAAAGTTTGTCTGGTACGATCGTTCATTCGTGTGTCTTTGTCTTACAGCCAGAATGCTGTGACGCAGGAGCTCCTGTGTGACGTCATAGTGTCCTCGGCTGTGTAGCGAGCGAACTCCATCAATAAAATAATAATTATACTGTCGGCGTTTGCCTTCCAATTACAACGTACCAAAAATATGTCAGGTTCGATTATTAGTGTATTTTACATGTGTGACGTAGGAGCTCCTGTGTCACGTCATAGGGTGCGATCCTTTGGAATGATCCGGATCAGAATCGATCATGGTAGATCAAATGAACCGATGAATCCACTCTGGACAAGGATTTATCGGTTCATTTGATCTACCATGATCTGAGTGATCTCGGGTCACTGATCCTTGATCTGGTGCATTAAAATTTAAGAAAACGTTATCAAATAAAGTGAGTCAAAGTACCGTGGTATATTTTTACTGGTTTTGCGTGTTGTTTGAACTCAACTGAAGGCGGTTGAATATAATAATCGAAAAATTTATCCTACACAAATTATAAGATAGCCTGACAATGTAGGTAGAATCCCCTTAAGTCTAAAATAAGGTTTTTAGCTAATATTCCACATTCTCAGAGTCCATCAATATACGCCATTCCCTATTTCGTTTGCAAGGATTCTGGGTGAAACCTAGTCCTTTGCTCAGCTCAGTCTTTACCAAGTAGGGAGATCAGAGGGGTGGAACGGCGGTCAGGTGTTGTTCGTGTTGTTTGTGGTTTGTTAGTACATTTCCTTTGCAAGTCTGTTCAGTGCGAGTGAAACATCATAAAAAGGTTAGTTCACCAAACGTTTAGTTTGCTTTATTTTGGGATACAGTCCTTAATTTTGTTCCAAGAAAACAGATATTAATATGAAAGAGGTACGTGTTCAAGAACTTCCGCTTTTAAAATACTATCAGATTATTTTCTGGTTTTATTGCAATTCCTTCGGTTAAAAAAAAATACAAAATTATGTCATCGCATAGTTTACATGTAATCTCTATCTACAAATTTTAACCTTCGTGCTGCGTAAAGGTGTGTATTTCAAACAAGGTCTCCCCTCCATTAATTTTATTCCGCCATTAACTGCTCTTGTATAAGTGCATTGTTCATCAACACTTTCTAAAGTGTTACAACTATTACAATTTTGCCCCGGCTCAATGTTTTAAAGTGGAGAATAAGTTCATCTTAGCCAAGCGTTCATCAGTAAAGGGTTGTGAAATATTAGTGACGACTCTGTTTTGGACAGACAATAGATGTAGGGTCTAATTTACATATACAGGCAACATTAGTTTGGCATGGATGGGTCCTTGTAAAATGAAGAGTCTAATATACTTGACGATAATAGTTTGTTTCAAAAAGGAGGTTTTACGGTTCGGCGCATGTGTAAGCCATGACATTATTTCATTTGTTTTAAACCTTGGAAGCAAGTTACTAGATTTCATTTCTGATAAATACTCAATTCGTAGCTGATAACCGATCAATACACACATCACTAAAGAAGACAAATTCGTGCTGCCATTAACCACATTTCATGTTTCATTCCTGTCGCGTTCTGAAATGAACCCAACAAATTAGCTTGCTCTCAATGTATGGGTCTTCATAGCTCAAGCAGTAGAGCACACTAATACTACGGTTCAACACAATACACAATACGCAATACTAGGCGAAAGTTACCTGGCATCGACGAATACTTTTTGGAAACGTCATTGCTACATTACATAATACGTAACACCTGGCAAACGCTACTTGGAGTTAAGAAATAAAACCTGCTGCCCCTTTTTATAGAAGTACCCAAATTGGAATTTGTTTAAAAATAAAATTTTATGTTAGATGGATGTCATTACCACTGCCTGCAACAGTTTTTGTTTTGAAAATATATTTAAACACCTGATAAAAACTACTTTGGTCATGCTTTAATTAAGAAGGCCCCGATTTTTTTTCTTGACGCATTACGACTCGTTTTCAAAGTGTTGCTGCATGCTTAAGTTTCAAATGAGTTAAACTTAAAACGAAACCAGCTTTGATACTTTTGGTATCAAATACATCGCTGTCTGTTTTCCCCCTTTTTTGCAATTGCTTCACCAAGTACAACTGTTCATGCTGAAAACTGTATCTTAAATTTGTGAATATGTTGTGGTTCAAAATTATCCTTGCTGTAATTTTTAATTTAAATTTTTCGGCACTCTTTAACAGACACAACCATACTCAAATGATGGAAAGTCACCGCAGGAACGAAAAAGAAATAGTTCAAAGCTGTGCTAGACTGAATTGCTTGGAATATTTCATGTTGGTTTCAAACTGATAATAACACTTTATAATTTATTTAACGAGGGTAACATCAATTACTGATGACTCAGTAGTATACATAATGGCCCTCCCTAAGCTAAAAGAATAATTATTAATAAAAGAATTAATAAGTATAGTTATTATTCATTCAAAATATTTCCCCGATTCTGATTGGCTAAAAGCACACGCATAATTCACAATAACCAGTTTCTGATGACCAAATTTGGAAGTATTTTGTGTTTAACCAGGAAATGACGTCAAAAATGCAGCGTTCGTGCAGGTTAAGGCACCGTTAACCGAGAAGACCTGGGGACGAGGTTGAGTTGTTTTGGTTGTCGAAACAAAAAATGGCGGACATTTCACTCATTTCAAGAGTAAGAACTAGGCGAAAAAATAGCTAAAAACATGGCAAGAACAGCAAGAAGACAACTCGAAGGGCGACATCTACTATTTGGAGAATATTTGCGGAGCTGGACAAACCTAAACGTGCTTAAAAAAAAGGTTAAAGGTTAAAGGCATGTTTATAGTGGAAAGTGCACTTAGCTTGTCCAGCTAATTTACAGGCACTCCATTCAAATATTTAGAAACAAATAATTCAAATACAACATAACAGAATTAAAAACCCCAACTGGCAAAAGGCGACCAGTTGGCTATTTACAAGCGTGGCCGAGAATTTGAACTCGGGACGACCGAGCACAAATCCAGCAAGTGGCCAGAGCGGGACTCGAACCCGGGACCGCCGGATTGCGAGTCTGACACGCTGACCACTCGGCCACGCTGCCTATCGAAGATGAACTTAAAGGAACAGTATCCCGTTACTGCGCATGCACCAAACCTTGATTTTTGGACAGGATGTCGCGAAATCAAAAGATGCGAGGAGAGTTAGAGAACCTTGAAAAATCCGTTTGCATCGCGCTTGGCCGGGTTCAATACGACAATTAAACTTCTCAGGATTACAGATCAGTGATATATTATTCCGGTTAAGTTTCGATTTGGGCAAAATCTGGATTTTATGGCGTTACTTTTATTGCCGTTGGCCAGAGGACCAAAAGATTGGAAGCACTTTCATGCCGATTGAAGGCTTATTTCTTCTGCTAGCTTCCATACAAGCTGAGATAATTGTGAAAGGAATACGCAGAAATGAAACAGTAACAATAAAGACTGTAAGAAAGAAACCATTGAGACATTGATGTGACTGAGGAGATCTTGTGGAGGGGAGCTTCGCGGAGCAGAATGTCTTGCAACGACACGTTAGAAAACTTTTAAATGAATCTCCCTACGGCCGACAAAATCAAACAAACATGCGCTACATGTTTAGAAAAACTAGTGCCCTGAAATCATAATATAATTTTTGACTAAGCTTTGTGATGATTCATAGCGTTGAGATTGCATTTTTTTAATGTCTTTCAATGTTTGAGGCTAGAACGCGAGCAAATAGAGTACTAAAGTGTGACGTCATAAAAATGAAATTTCTGAAATTATGGGATTTGTCAGGATATTCTGAAAGAACAATGTCCAAGAGGCCTACTTGCCAAAAATGAGCATTTGGGGGCAAATTGTCTCTGAGATCGTAGCCCAGTTATGCTTACAAAACTCCATAGAAACCCTTTTAAATTTCTCTCGGGTCGACCCAAAAAAAAATTAGAAGGGTTTGTATGGAGTTTTCTAAGTATAACTGGGCTACGATCTCAGAGACAATTTGCCCCCAAATGCTCATTTTTGGCAAGTAGGCCTCTTGGACATTGTTCTTTCAGAATATCCTGACAAATCCCATAATTTCAGAAATTTCATTTTTATGACGTCATCACTTTAGTACTCTATTAGGCAGATATTACTGGACTTGGCACAATTAACCTCTGACACGAGTTTCAAATTTGAAAATATGTTTTTAAAGCCAGCGAAACGAGATTTTCGGGTCGCAAGGCGGCCCAGCTAGCGATAAAATCGCGATGAGTCTTCGAACCGCGAGCCAAATATTTATATAAGACGAAAGACTTCTTCGAAAGTCTAAAATATTACTTGAGAATATAAACAACAAATCGCCGTCGGCGGTGCGGTCCGGAAGGAAATCTTGTCGAGTCAATAAGACAGTTCTATTGTCTTTTGAAGAAAAAACAGATGACGCTCGCGCGTGCGCATAATCGGGACACTGTCCCTTTAACATCGATGGATCGATGGAGGTAAGCATGTTTTAGCCATGTTTTTAAACTAGGAATTATTTTGAATGAATAATAAAACAATTATTGAATTCGGCTTTTGTATCATATGAAGAATTAGGGTGTTATCCGCCTCGGCTTCGACGGATAAAGCCCTCCTCGATCTCCATAATTCTTCATAAGATACTCAGCCTCTTTCATTAGTTGTTAATTAATTTTAAAATGTTCAGTAACAGAGTCTTTCAATGTTGGAGGTCCCTTAAAAAGCGCTTCTGTGAAAGCGTATCTCTAAGAGATTGTTCAGTTTTGTTCTACAGACGATTGGGACTGGAATGGAATGTTCTGAGACCTGGAATGGAATGTTCTGGGTCTTTGACGGGGTTCAGAACTGGCTGGATCACAGACGCTCTCAAAACCGTGTGATGGTGATCAATGGAAATACAGGGATGGGAAAATCTGATCAAACTAGATCGGTTCCTCCACATGTTCGTTGAAATAGGCTTCTTTAAAGCTAATATTGAATTTTTTTCTTTTTACGTGAAGGGACATTCAGTCGACCTTTTCATGGCTACTGCAGCACCATCACCCCTGGCCAGTTCTGTGGAGAAGACAAATGGAAACAAACAGTTCTCAGAAAGATTTTTGATGGGCATCATCCTCCTGCAACCTTGATTACTGGTTTAAATGCTAATTATTCCATTCTAAACAATCTCTCACGTCGTCGAGTCCTTAATGGCCATCAGTGGGAAAAACTTTTCCCACCTGGTGGAGTCGCACCAGATTCCAAAACCTTTGACATCACTCTTCTGTTTCTTCTTCTGACCAACATTTGTGGACTAACCCCTCCCCATTCAGGATGGCACTCTAAACCACCCCCAAGTGAAACGTCTCATGAGGCTAACCTTGCACGGGTTAAGTTTTATCGCAATACCTTGTATGGTCATGTGACAACCATTGGTGTGGATACACCAACTTTCTCTGCTCTGTTGACTGAAATTAGTGGTGTTCTTGTGAGTCTTGGCCTTGATCAGGCTGAAGTAGATAGGCTGAAGGCAGAGAAAGGTGGAGAGCAAGATTATATTGACGTGTTGATTGACTGGGCTGATAGTGAAGAGGATATTAAGTCACAGTTGAAGAACATACATCAGTCTCAAAGCCAAACGCATCAAGCAGTCAAAGATATACAACAGGTACAAGTGAAAACTCAGAAGACAGTGGAAGACATACATCAGACCCAGGCCAAGACACAAAAGAGAGTAGAAGGCATGTATCAGATACATACCCAAACTCACCAAAGCGTCAAAGAAGTGAATCAGAGTGTGGGAGAAGTTGCAACAGGTCTTGAGGAAATAAAGGAAGCAGTTTATAGTTTAAAAGAAGGAAACGACAAAGATAGCGTAGATGAGGTACTTCGAAATCTCACCAAATCTGAATTCAGAGGAGACGTTGAGTATTATGTGCAGAGATTTCAAGAAGGCACCCGTGAGTGGGTTTTTGACGGGGTTCAGAACTGGCTGGATGACAGACGCTCTCAAAACCGCGTGATGGTGATCAGTGGAAATGCGGGGATGGGAAAATCTGTCATCTCAGCTGTGATTTCAAAGAGAATGCAGGAGGCTGGCAGGCTGTCAGGAAGTCACTTTTGTCAGTATAACAATGTACGCTACTGTAAGCCTCAGTTGATGATTCAGTCGCTTGCCTGTCACTTGTCCCATACCCTGCCAGAGTACAAGCGAGCTCTTGTGGGACAGCTATCAAGAAATCTGGGCACAGATCTCAACAGCATGGGTGTGGAGGAGTTGTTTGCGTTGATTTTCAAGGAACCTCTTTGTGCTGTAGGTGACCCAGGAAAAAACATGCTCATGGTGATAGATGGTTTGGATGAAAGCGAATACAAAGGAAGAAATGAGCTTCTTGATGTGATTGCAAATCAGTTTTGCAAGCTTCCTAATTGGATACGTTTTCTTCTCACGACGCGTCCAGTCTTAAATATTACAGAGAAATTGAAGCATTTGAAGCCATTAGAACTGAAGTATAATGATGGAAAGAATATTAAAGACGTCAAAGTTTTCTTTCAAAAAAAGCTGGAACACGTGGTCAAGCTAGAAAATTTAGACGACTATGTAAAAAGACTAGTTTTGAAGTCTGAAGGACTGATGCTATATGCCCATTTCCTCGTGTTGTTCATAACTGAAAATCCATCAATTTTCCACGAGGGAGACCTTGATGACAGTTTACCATTAGGAATTTCCTCATTTTATCATTCCTATTTCAAACGTTTGGAATGTGAACTTTGTGAGGATTTACACATGAACGAAGAACATTTCCTGAACCTGCTAGCTGCTGTTGCCGCTTCAAGGGAGCCTCTGCCAGGTGGTTTTGTTTCTAAAATGTTAGTACCAGGTACCGATCAACCACTTGTAAGGCGTAAAGTAATGAGATCCTTGAGCAGTGTGTCTGCACTTCTTCCCATCCTGGATGATTGTCTTCATGTCATTCACAAGTCAGTTAAAGACTGGTTAACAGACGTTTCATGTTACGGGGAGCATGAATTCATCGTGGATGAAAATGAGGGACACCGTATACTAGCAGCCTTGTGTTCTGACGAGCTTGAAAATCTGAAACGGAAAGGTGTACACAACATGCAATTTAACGCCACTGAGAGTTACGCGCTGTGTCATGGTGCATATCACATGCTACACAAAGGCGTCAAGACAGAGCCACATAACCTGGACGAACTGACAAAGGCTTGCATTTTAGATTTAGAAATCGTGTATGCTAAGACCTGCGTTAACAGCACAATAGCGGCTGAAGATCTTGTGTGGCTTAAAAAGCAGGGAATTTTTACGTTGTTATCAAAAGATAACCAAAGTTTTCTGGAAACCATGTTGTTTCTGTTGAGAAAGAACCTTCGTTTACTTACAGATACCCCTCGCATGTTTCTTCAAATCATACTTAACCAAGGAGGAAAAGTGTTCAGTGTTGACGCGTCGAATCTTCTGCAAAAAAAGTGTCCTGAAATACCATATATGGAGGTTGTTCACAAGGAGATGCAACAAGCAGGTGTTGTAGCCCGATTTAAATGTTCATCTACCGTGATCTGTTTGGACGTCTCTCCACAGCTGGATTATATGGTGTGTGAATGTACCAACGGAATGATCCAGCTATGGTCGCTCCATACTGGGAGGCTTGTGTGGACACGTCCGGTCGTAGTAGAAAAAAACTTTAGGGCGGTCGGGTCCCTTGGATACACTAGAAACTGGCCTTCTTTTGATGGCTTTTCATTATTTCGTTCTGTTGTTTTCCACCCTACTAGGGATTTTGTTTTACCTGGGATTGTAAGTCAGGCCTATAGTACTATGAACGGAGACTTGAAACCCCTTTTTCCCGGAAGTAACTGTAAATTCTCAGTTTGCTCTATTTCCGGGGACAAAACCAAGATTTTAACTAATTGTTTTGAGAGTTCTAAATGCCTTGTCTTGTGGAGTTTAGAAAATGGCTCAGAGGTTGATCGAATCTTTGCAGATGAAGACATTTTGTCTTTTGCATGGTCTGGCGATGCAAGGCTTCTTGCAATTTCACATTCTCGGGGAGTGATTAGTTTGTATGATGTGATGGGTAATTTCAGAAAACTAACACAAATGGCTACCCCAGAAGTATACGGCATGGTAAAGTTTTCAGCTGATCATCGATTCATTTTATGTTGGGGTGCAATAGTCGTAATTCAACCCCGCTTTTTTTGCCTGAAGGTTGTAAGGGAAACAAAAAACACATTTTCTTTAACTGATGTGTCTTATGATTACGAGAATTTTGAATCTTTTAATGATTGTGGGTTTTTATTTGGCGATCTTATTGCCAAGGAAAGGTATCCATTTCTGATGGCATTTGGTCTTGACAAGCAACGACTGTTACGATGCAAACTGGATGAAATAGAAATGGTGGATACCAAATACGTAAACAGAATTGATCAAGATGTATCTCCTAGTGCTACCGAGATAGCACTCAGTATGGATGGTCATATTAAAAACATGCACCCTCGATAGTGTCTGCTAGGGATGAATACAGGATTAATACAGGTCGGTTTCACACTAAACGTAGGAAGAAATTTGGGTCTAATACAGGGTGTCCGCTTAATGTACTTGAGCCTAGTACAGGTTACATTTTTTTCCAGAATAACCAACAAGCCAATGAAGTAGGAGGAGAACAGCAATCAGAAAATGTGCAAGAGGTAATTAAGAATAGAAACTAGCAATTGCTGAATATGGATGAGAACGATATGAAGAATAACACAGATCGAGAAGGATCGAAACAGGCAAGATCTTATCCAATCGGGATTGACCACTTTGTGCGTGCAGGAACTAAATGAATTCCTTTAACCATATTACAGGCCTACAGTCTCTATGTAATCTGTTCAAATTTTGGTTCAAATTTTTAAAGAATGAAGGGCGATGTACAAAATTACTTACACTTTGTGTGTTGCGTAAACTACTGCTGTCTTCTTCTGAGCCGGGTTGTTCAAAGAAGGGTTAAGATAACCCAGGGTCAGTGCAAATTTTCAATTCAGATATAAAACCTGAAAAGGCAAATTCAGTTTTATTCTTTTTGTCCACAATTTGATGATTTGATGCTCTAAAGAGAATCGAGAAAATAATCCGGATAAATACTTTTAAGCAAAAGAAAAAGAAACCCGGGTTATAATTTAACCCTGGGTTAGCGCTAATCGGCCCTTGAACAACTGAGACAACTGGAGTCCAGGGTACTTCGAGATGAAAATCCATATATCCCATAAAATGGTCGGCAAAATGGCCAGAATTGTCTTCATCAGACTTGTCTATAACCTTAAAATATAGCAGAACAATTGTGACACCCGTTATTTAATTAGGTTTCGGCGTGGTATATGGTATATTTAACAAATAGATTCCATGTTGCCGTGGGTCTGTTCAGTAATAGATCACAGATGACGTCAAAATGTGGTAAAAACAATGAAGTGGCACACGAGCCGCAGGCGAGTGTGTCACTGATGTTTTTACCACATTTTGACGTCCTCTGTGATCTCGATCTATTACTGAACAGACCCACGGCAACATGAAATCTATTAGTTTTATACAATGATCAGAAAAGAAAAAAGACCGATACACTTACCTGCCTCGTACCGCTTGACTGTTCGAGGATTTGTCCTAGTTTAGGCATTTTTTTAAGTCCCAAGCGCTACTTCTTCTTTTTTTCTTTACCTTAATTGTATACAGTTTCTTCGAAAAGTTTTTCAACTTCTTTTCTAGCTCAAAGCAGAATAATGGCGAAAACATTTTGCAAAACGGCGAGTCTCTCTTAGCGATGAAACACGATGGCAGCTGTTGTGACGATTTCTTATAGTTTAGACATTCGAAATTAGTCAAGAGCTCTTTTTGTCCCCGTTTCTCCATTTTTCTTGCTTGTAAATGGCTCCTATTGAACATTTTCGAGAATTTCACTTGCTTTTATCCGAGATAATCTCACAAACATATTCAAAACCACGCGCCATGTTGAACAAAACAAAGAAAACAAGTTTCGCGTGACGTCATCCATGTATCTGTACTCTGATAGATCATGGGCAACGACCAATCATAGCGCGCGTAGCATTCACATCATTGTATAAAGCTTTTGGGTGAGTATTTCTCAGTATCTATATAATTTTTTTTTTTTTTTTCAAGGCAGAAAAAAGTAATTCGTTAGCTGATTGCGTGAATGCGGTTTTTTTAGGCTAGCAGGAACTCTCAAGTTGAGAGAAAAAGCTGGTGAGTCTTCTGTTAAAAAGGTTTTTTGTTGTTTTTTGCTTGGTAACCTTGTAGTTTCCCTCACCTGCATTCAGCTGTGTTCGTTGCAAAATGTTCCATCTAAAACCGATTGGGTTCCTCAAGCTCTTTTTTACCCTCTCATTCTTATTATTGCAAGGCTGTCTTTAATATTCTTAACTGTTCCAGCTTTTTGTTATTATGCAGATATAGGTGCGATAGTTTCTTCCAAAGTTTATGTGTATTATCCATGTCTCTCTCATTTTCAGCTGTTTACTTGTTTGATGACGGCAAAAGAAGATAGTCCAGCCTATTTGAGCCTACACGACAGTTTGTTTGCGGCTTCCAAAATATAATTAATTAGTGCTAATTATTAGCTAGGTTTTTGTACATTAACAAATCTTTGTAAATAATATTCTATCTAACTCCGTGAGGATGTGACTTTTAGATACCAAAATTGAAATATCAGTCTTATGGGAATTGCACTTTGCTCAGATTTTAGCGGGAGTGGGTGAAAAAACAATTAATTTTCCAGTTTTCCATAAATTTGAAGTGCGTGGATGAATTTCCTCTTTAAAGAGAGTAAAGAGGTGAATAATTTTAGATTGTGATATACTAATTGAAACAAGTTAAAAAGTCATTTATTACACTTAGAAGCTGGGCCCATATAAAAGAAGGTGTTGTTTAACGAGTGTCTTTGAATTTGATGTAGCCACTCACTTAGTTTTTTTGGGCCAAAATAATTTAAAAGTTGACTAAGAATATGATCATGCAGTTAATCATTTCCACGTAGTTGTTAGATACTTGCCTCACGCAGGTTTCATCTTCTAAATTCCAGCCGGGTTCGACGCCGTCTGGGACCGCATAAAACGATGTTCTCACCCTGTGGGAAACTGGGACTGTTTTCGTTTTGGAAGAATCCCACACCCACGAACTTTCTTGCGTGCTCGAAGATTCTGAATGTGTTCTGATGTTTTCTCTGATTGTTATTCTGAGAAGCTGATGTATTCCCAATCTGAAAGTTTTTTTATTATAATCTTAAAGATCATCTGAAGAAAGTCTAGGATTGTGTCCGTTTTTTTCACACCCCATTATGAACAGGACCACAGAACATTAATAAAACGTACGTAGGAAAAGGGATGAAGTAAAATTTCTGTTTCGTCATTGTAGTTTTTTTGTCAATAGTGATTAAGACCAATGATTGGTTTAAGAAAACGCTTTATGCACCACACTGACCAAAAGTGCTCATAAATTACATAGGTTAAATTAAACTTTGTGTTAAAGTGATGCTATGCTGCAAATTTAACAGTTTCAAAGAAGCATTAAGTGTAATGTTCCCGAAAAGGTGGATTAAATTATCAACTAATTTTAAATTTGCTTTTTTAGGGTATTGGACACCAATTTTTTAAAGATAAATATTTTCCTATAAAAAAAACGGAAGGCCTCTTGAAAGGACGTTTCAGAAATATATTTTAAACAATTTTTCCCGGAGGATTAGATGTCTTAGATAGGTTTGTGTAGTTGAAAAAGGTTAATTGGATTCGCATTCAGTCCGGGCCATAACCATTTCTGGATACTCTATGACGTCATCAAAAAGGGCTTCTGGTGCCGACCTCGAGGAAACTCGTTTACTACTCTTCTTTGAGCTGTACCAGATTTAGTCCTCAGTTATATTCCATGAAACCTTGCGAAATTAAAGGCGAAGAGTGACGAAATACAACAGGCGAATAGGTGATAGCTTCGGTTGTGATTGGTCAGAAATTCTGTGGAAAAATCGAGCAAAGGGGCCGCTAAAGGGCTTTCAGGGAGGGCGCCGATTGAGGAGTCGCCTCTCTCATGTAGCATTTTTTTGGTTCCTACAAAAAGTATTTTCAAAAACTAGAATAAATGGTTATGGCCCGGACTAGTATTTGTAGAATTACATTCAAAAGAGAATAATCCCGTAAACAAATTAGTTAAGCAAAAAAAAATACGACTCTAAATGATAGGAATAAATGTGACTTTTTATATTTTGCAACGAATTACCTTTTCAACGGGCTAATCATGACGCATACTCAATTCCTGGTGCGCAGGTGAGGAGCCAGGAACAAGGATTTCGGCGCTGTTTTGCAGACGGAGTTAACCAGAGTTTAGGTCTGTGTCTACGTTACGGCTGACCATGTGACTTTTTCTGCGGAGCTAGCTACTGATCAATCCCTACCCGCCTCTACCTGAGATGTAAGTAGCTTGTCCACCAAGACGGATATCGCTCCCACCTAGTTGGCTCGCGTGATAATCTGACTTTTCCAGCTATTATTTGCTTTTACTTTACCCCGAGAGTCCCGAATTACCATGTTCGCCACTACGCTATTTAAAGGGAAAAATAAATGCGTCCGAAACCAAAACCCGACAACCTGAGGCTAAGGCCAGTTTCAGTTTATAGTAAAATGGCGATTGTAAAAATACGAACTTTAAATTCCGTAGATCACTTTAAGAGAACTATTGATAAAAGGTTTTCTACCCTATTCCAGGCTCTAAGATAGTGCTGTGCACAGATCGTGACTTCGAGAACGCGTGAAGACTCTTTATATTTTTTCTTGGCTTGTTTTCGCTACGTTCCTACTATCTGATAGCCGATAGCCTGGATCCCAGACCTCTCCCGTCTCTGCACATGCGCAGACGTTATTCGGCTCTGTCGATAGCCTTGCACAGGCTAATCTCGTACCCAGATCTCATTCTGTCTTACGCTGAAAAATGAGATCTCTTTTGGCCATGGGAGATCTGGGTATGAGATTAGGCACAGGCAAAAGGTTTTCTGAAAAGCACTCCCTTTAATACTGCCATGAGGCAAAAATATATAAGTCAGTTGAAAAGAATTTTATTTTATTTTCATCCAGTCACTCACTGACATGACGCAAACAATGTTTAACGTGATATGAAGTAGAACACAAACAGCGGTGAAAAACATATTTAACTTACTCACTTTTATAAACTTGACGTTCTGTATGCTATTCAAGATACAGTATGTTGCCCAGTATCCGGACGGTACCAGTATCCGGACACTTGAAACAAAAACTCAATTTTTGAGGCGCCCTTTT